GCCTTCACAGACAGCATTCAATCACTTCCCCTTCCCTTTTATAAAACATAAAAAGCCATCTGGAATACTTTTGCTGATCTCAGCTGGGGCAACACAGTACAGGGAACAAATAGCTTATGGCCTGTATGGTCAAATACCACAAGCCATCAGTGAGGCTGCCACAGGTGAAGCAGTAGAGCTGTTCAACATCAGCCTGTTACCCCCTGGGCTTCCCTCTCCCTTTTGTTGCATCTCCATGTCAGTGCCAGATTCACTTTGCCCTCGTGCAGGAGGCGGTCCGGGATCCCACCCACCCAAGATTCCACCCAGCCCTCCAAATTATGCTGCTGTCACACCACTGATCCTCTCAGCTATGCCAAAGGTTTCCCTGTTCGTCACACCTCACCTGGCAGAGCTATGGGCACAGTTTAATGCTGTGATGCCATATGCACAGTTACGTACTACCCGTGGGGAAGAAACATTAAGCCAAATGCTGTTGTGGGAGAACTGTCACTGGCTGCACAACAAAATACATCACCAAGTCAAACTTCAAAGCTCTTTCTACCGCTGGTTAACCCTGCAAGACTCTGCAAAAAAATGCTCCCATGGTCTGAATAGCTTGATCAGCCTTTCAGTACCTAAAGGGAGCCTACAAACAGGAGAGGAATCAACTCTTTGAAAGGGTGAGTGACAGCAGGACAAGGGGAAATGGTTTTAAGCTGAGGGAAGGGAGATTTAGGTTGGGCATCGGGGGAAATTCTTTACGGAGAGAGTGGTGAGGTACTGGAACAGCTGCCCAGAGAGGTTGTGGATGCCCCGTCCCTGGAGGTGTTCAAGGCCAGATTGGATGGGGCCCTGGGCAGCCTGGTCTAGCATTAGGTGGGATGGTTGGTGGCCCTGCGTGTGGCAGGGGGGTTGGAGATTCATGATCCTTGACGTCCCTTCCAAACCTGGCAATTCTGTGATTCTGTGATCTCATTACCAGGTTTTCATTTTAATGTCAATACTTCTATGCTAAGAATGATGAACCATATGGAAGAAAATAAAAACAAGGAATGCCTCCAGCATTAAAGCAACACTAAGCAATGAAGAGCCAAACTTAGCTTATTTCCATGCTGCAATTCATCTTAAAATACACCGTCATCTGTCAAAACGTGTTCCATTCACAGCTGTGTTATAGATCAGAATTATATTTAAAAAAAAAGAAAAAGAAACACGTTTGTATAGAGACTAATATGGATTTTAAATCCGCTAAGTTTGAGTTAAAAGGTAGAAAAGCACAATGAGAGCTCCGCTCCACGGGAGGGCCATCTACCGCAGGTCCACGCAGCCACAAGCCGCTGTGCGGGACTCAGGCTAACGGGGCGGGCTGCCCCACATCAGCGCTGCCTTCGGAGCTCGGACCCGTCCTCAGATCGCTTCCGCCTGAATGCTACAGCATTTCTCTAACAGCAAAAGCAAATCACCGGCCACCAAAATTTGGTTTTCTTTTCTTTTCCTCCCCAAACTTCCGAACTCCGCACGCTTTTACTGATGCGTTGCAGCGGCTCCCCGTGCTGGTGGAGCTGCCTCCGGGCCGTGCTGCGTGCCGGCCGGGACCACGGCCGAGCAGCCGGGAGGGAGCAGAGCAGGGCGGCAGAGGAAATATCCGGCCCCTGCTTGCTCGGGACAAACAGCCACAACCACAGAGGAAGAGCACATTCCCTCGCACTGGGTGACAAACGTTCTGCCTAAAGGAGCTCAGCGATAGAAACCGAGCAACCTCCCCCTCTCCGCAGCATTCCGGAGGGACACATCCTGCCTCCTCACCCGACGCTGCCCACCACCCGCTCCCTCCCCAGCCGCAGCTCTGCCCTTCCCCGGCCCCTCGCAGCCGCCCGGCAGCGGCACGGCCACCCGCGCTCCCTTCACGATTCCCGCCGCACCTTTTGCTCAGAGGCCGGACCCGCACGGCCACCTTGACGTTTGCCATGGCTCGCCTTACGCCTCGCAGCCCCGCGCTCGCATCACGCCCCCAACGCGGCCACCCAGCGCCCGTGACGGAGCCGCCCCGTCCCGTGCAGCTTCGCCTCGCCCCGGGGCGGGAACACGGCGGGGCCCGCCCAGGCACTCCTCGCTTCGGCGGCAGGGAAAACTCCGGAGGAAGTCGGGGAAAAGCCTGCCCTAAACAGCTGTGAGGGCCGGGCTGGAAATTTTTGCAGTCCTTCCAGCAGCAAAACCGGGCATTGTTGGTGCTTATTTGAAAGCCAACCGGCGGTCGCTGTGGCTACCAAAGGTCTGGCCGGATTGGAGCCAGGAGTCGCCGCTCGCGCGTTGCTCCGCTCCTCGTGCACCGCTGCAGCGACGGCTCGCGGGGAGCACCGAGCTGCAGCAGGCTTTATTTTCAAGAATAAAACGCTCTTGGTCTACTCCTTTGTACCTTTGATACATTTCTTTTCCAAGTAAGGTGCGGGCAATCCAGAACTCCAGTGTGCCTTGAGCACAAATTATCCCACATTGGTTAACGTGACAGGAATTTCAGGGAGATAGTAAGGAATTGGTTAAGGCTAAGCTTTTGAGCATTTGCAGCTCGCTTTAGAAACTCCAACCGTTCTGCATTTATTGTAATAAATCTGGATTTATATTACTATACTATTATTTTATTATCTAGATTTATTGTAGTGCTTTAAAATACTCCATGAACTGCAATTGAAGGCAATCTCAATCTATCAAACTGTAAAGTTTTACACTTAGAGTAATGTAAAAGCTATCAAAACTTGAGAAAAAATGATTTTAGAATATTGTCCTTGTCGGTTACCAACGTGACCATGGGGATGTCAGAGCATCAGGCACACCCACAGGCACGACACAGGGCCTGAGGTATTCTGACAGACAAAAAGAAACAATCTTCCCCCCAACCCACACCCATAAAAAAAGTAATCCAAACCCAATGTGGTCATGCACTTTTACTCATTGTTGCATTTCAAAATATTGAAGATTGTGCTGTATCTGAATAGGCAACTACAGTACCTTTACACCAGATAATCCTTGCCAGATAGGCCATTTCAATAACCCTACACTTTGGCCTTTAAGTATAGCATGAAATCATGTTTCTTAAACTATGGAAATATTGAATCTAAATGAAAGGTGCCACAACACAGAAACCTTCCAGACTGAGGTTCTTCAGACTCAACAGTCTTCCCAACTCACGACCCTTCAAATCCCTACAAACTGTGAATTGATGTACATTTCAGTAGGTTTAATGACCTCATATGTCCATAGCTAATGGCAGCTAAATTCTACCATCTCCACAGAAACTTTCCAATAACGGATATAGTAGAGCAAGGAAATATGTTCAACTTTTTGAATATGGGAAAATGTACATATTTATCTTTATTTGAAGGAATTATGATGAACAAAGCAACTAGAACTGTTCTCATCCTATTTCTCAAAGTCTTAGGTTACAATAGCTTTAATTTACCTGATGCAAACTATCGCTGTAAGACAGTTTGAGACGGGTTAAACCTGTGATAATCCAGACGTTTAATCCAGTGCCTTTGTTTAGTTTCTGTTACCTCCCACCTCAGAAAAACAGAAGATACAGCTCTTCTGCAACCATGCAGAAGACCTTTTCTGAATCAGAAAGGAGAGTCATGTGGGACTTTGTGCTCAGATGGCACAATGTCATATACCACATGTTCACATGAAGACTGTTTAAGGCTTACAGGACTCAAACTCTAGCTTTGTTCTCAGATCCTATCTCTTGGCATTCTGCTTCACTTAATCTAAGCTGTTTGTCTTTTTAACTTCAGTCAGCTGCAACAGAAAGGAAAGCTAAAGGAAATCCAGCTGCACTTGTATATTACATTAGAGAATTCTTAAGCTATACTTTGACATCATACCCTGTAGAATGATGTGGCTCTCTGAAAATTTCAAGTATTTAATATTGGGTAGACCAATTACAAGTAAATCTGATTAGAGTGTGTTCAACAAAGAACCAAGTATTTCTTCCTTAACGCTATTTTTTTGATGCAGCTCTCAGATAAACTTGAGAGAAATTTGTGTGGTAATGAGCCACCTGGTGGCTACTTAAGAAATTAAAGGACTCCTTTTTAGAAACAAATCAACAAGTTGTGCATACAGAGAATTCAGATAACAGAGGCTGCAGCAATAGAAATAAATACATCTGCAGCACTTCCAGTTTGATCCATGTCTTCAGGATGAAACCTCAACATCCCCCAGAGACAACCAACCTTCTTGATTTATAGATGTCCTGCCAGTGTTGTTTTACCAACACATCTTTCATATAAAAGTTATTAAGGCTGTGAACTGCAACCATCAACGCTCCTGCAAAAAAAAAAAAACCACAAAAAAACCACAAAAAAAAACCCAAAAAAAAACCCACACCAAAAAAAACCCAACCAACCAAAAAAAACCAACCACACCCAGACATTAATACTTGTGGAAAATGAGTTGTATTCTAAGAAGATCACTGAAGACAGGGCAAGCAATAGAAGAGACTGAATAATACAGCTATCGCTATCGTAGAAATCTGGGTTACAAATTAGAAGAACTGCTACACATCACCAAGTCCATTCCTTGCTTTTCCGGTCAATGACATCATACCTCTAATAAGCTGTAACTTAAAACTAGTAAAATTTCTTGGTTGGAATCCTAAAGTACCAGTTTATGCTTCTGAACAATGAATAAACGTACAGAGATTAGGCTAAGTAGGATTATTGCAGTGGAAAAATAATAAATGGAAAAAACACTCACCAATGTTATAGGCCTGCAATAAGCTCCAGGAATAAACTCCAGAAAGAGATCCTTCCTCAGTGGCAGTCAGCACTTAAATGGGATCAAGGAGGGGTGGAGCTCACGGGTGAATTGCCTTCACCTGTGCTCCTGCAGCTGACTCATCGCTTACCTCAGGTGGTCAATCAGAGGCTCAGGCAGTGATCAACAGTTCCCATACAGCTTCCATAGCATTTTGTATCATTTTGTTTTAAATGCAAAATTCCATAACAAAATAAAAACAATCATTTAGATCTTGAAATCTAGTACTTTTATTGAAGTTTGATAATACATTGTATTTTGTATGCCATTATAAACATACCTCTAAAAATGAATAGAGGTTCTATAGCCAACATGTGAGAAATATACAAACAAATTTGCACTGAAGATAAAGACTCCAAGAGACTGTCAACTATTTCAAAGAGGAACTCTCTAAGTCCTCTCAGCAGTCCATCTACTTACAAGATACCACTCAGCCTTTTATCATCTGTTTTTGTTTTCAATTAGTTGAAAAACATCGAACTACAATGTCAGAACATAAATATAACTATCTACAAAATCCCTGTTAATTTAAGGCACAACTGTGTTGCAGTTTCCACAGGAGACTTGCACGGCAGTTCTTCAAGCAGTTATCTCGTATGAAGAAAAACATCATTTGTTAGGTAGATAAGCCCAAGTCCAATTCAGCAGTATTGCAAATGCTGTCAGAATATACTTCTTTTTGCACTTCTCTCCACTGCAATATTTGCTCGGTCAGCTCTTCCAAGTCTGTCACCAGCACCTCTGTTTTTGTCAAAGCAATGTCCTGAAGCAGAAGAGGATGGGATTTAATCTCCACACATCCTATCAATCTAGCAGGAAACAAAAAGATTCTAGGCAACAAAACAGCACTGAATTTTTAATGCTGGAGGAGATAAAAAGCTCAATTATTATTTTTTTTGCCACTCACCAGATTCTTCATGAAAGTTGGTACCTGAGGGATCGTTTTTACAGTCTGCAAATGGTTTTCCAACTTCTCAATGAAAGTCACAGCCTCAGTCAACAACTCCACTACATACCTGTAGCCAAGAATGAATTCTGAAGTCGTGCAAAACAATGCAGGATTTAATATTTGCAAAGTCTTAACTATTTCCCCTGTAGGTTTTCTTAGTCTTCTTCTCCAGTTTTATTTGAGTTCCTAGTCATCTAATTAACTTCTGTGCAATTACAATTCTTCTGCGACTCTCAGCAACATGTAGGGCAGGAGTTACAGAAATAAGTATGCATTCAGTAACTGGACTAGATTTTTAGACCATGAGAAGAAAGACTAGTTTTAAAACATGTACTATGTAAATCTGAGAATCATCCACACATTTATTCTGCGCAAGTCATAATGGAAAAACACCAAAGCTGAAATAGTATTCTTACCTATGCAGAAGCATAATGAATTGGGCATTTTACACACTCATTTGAAAATACATATTTTTCATTGTGCAATATTCAGAAGACAAATCAGTTAAGCAAACTGTCACAAAAAATAATTATCACTACTGTTCCATGAATTTAGCAGTTAATAGAATTTTAGATTTTAGCTTTGGTCCTGCTATCATTTTACCTCTTACTGATGTGAATTAAAGTATATGGTGTTTACTGCCTATGAGTTACAATTAATTTTGACTCAATCAAACAAACAAATATTATTTTTTATATGCCTACTTGTGGAAATCAGCCTTAATAGGCAGCATCTCTTGACATATGGGCTTAATCAGCCTCTGCCTAAGTCTTCTCTTCTCTTTCAGTACTGCTTCCAAATGTCTGTTCACATCTTGCAATATCTGGTATTTTTTACCTACAAAATAAAATTGCAAAGTTGAAACTACTATCCTGCTAGAGCAATAAGAGCAAAATTTCTTCAGCAGAAAGGCAGAAAAAAAAAGTCTGATCTATTGCTCAAGGCAATTTACAGTCAAGAAAACATCATTACTCCAAGTTACTTGTGCTGGATTGTATAGAATTTAACATCAACACTCACCTTGAAAAAAGTCGTACATACTTTTTAGAGACACAGCTTTACAACTACTTTACATTTTATATAGCTCTAAGTAAGCCCACTTTTTAACCTGTAACATAGGATAGCAATTTTACAATGTACTTCACTATTAAAACACATTATTAGCAAACTGGAATCTTTTTAAGCATCCATCAAGACAAAATGGAAAAAGCAAGAAAAATAAAATAAATCCTTATGCTCCCAAGAAAAACTAAAGAAAAACAAACAAAAAACCCTAAATAAATAAGCAAACAAACAAGGTAATTCTAGGGGCCTACAGATGGAGCAGAAATGCATGCATCAGGTTACTGGAAAATCAGCAAAGCAGCACACAAATTAAGGGAAGGAAAACAAATTACTGATTATTTCAGAACTCCCAACACTCCACTGAATTTGGGAAGCTGAAGACACACAGACACTTATGACTACAAAGATACATATATACACATACACACACACACACACACCCTTTCTACTTTAAGTCATTTTTATGAGATTCAAATATTATGCCAACATTCTTTTGGAAAAAGTTAACAAAACACCTGTCACCTGTAACAAGCTATGCAGTGAAAACAGTTGCAGTCTCTTCTAGAAGCATGATGAGCACTATGTAGTCAGATGAAACAGTCTGCTGATACGCACCTTTAACACTCCTGGCGTTTTTACAGTACAACCACACTTACTTAGATAAAAAGGATGAACTATGTCTGCTGTCTCCAGCTCCAATTGCAGAAGTTCAGTTTCCAGCTTCTTCTACAGCAACAAAAATCAAATAAAAATGCATCTTAAACACACTTATTTTTTGTCTCTCTTTAGGTGGGAAGAAGAAAGCGAGGGAGGATTAGGAAGGAGGATGGTGCAAGTGTGAGAGAGTAAGAGTTTGATCACATGCATGACAGCATGCTATCAAGCTCTCTCAAGTTTTACATTCTACTTTTGATTAATAGGAAGACAGTTTAGAAAGAACAAATCAAACACCACCAGCACACAAAGACAAGAAAATCATTATCTAATGATGCATTGGGAACTTTTGCAAAAGACAGATTCTGCAACTCATTCCTAAAACAAAGATGCTTACAAGTCCTACAAAGCAGTTTCATAATACATATCCTATTCAAGAACCTCATAGCCCAAGATTTCTCCCTTTGGAGAAGACAGTTCTGAGGTTTTGATTGTCTTAAGCTGAGAGAGAACCTCTCAGGAGAATCTTAGCTTTAATTATTTTCAACAATAAATGAGCACAAAAGCAACAGGTATCTTCCTGTGGCAGAAAATTAAGGTCATTTTGGCTAGACAGGAAAAGACTGAAGAAAGCACAGAACAGAACAATATAGTCTTTCAGGACACAAAACTGTTCCTTTGCAAGCAAGGACAAAAATTATTGTTTCACTCACAGCAGACCGAACATTTGTCAGAGAGAGTACTTTGTAAGCATATCCTTTCAGCAACAAAAGCTACAGAGCCACTCTACTGGGAGCTGAAAGTGTCCCTTCTTTCTGCCAGTCATATGGGGTGATGCCAGTTAATTCATTCTCCAAAAAGTTAAAAGCTGAGTTTGTCACACTTTTGCAGTAGCTGCTGGAGTTTATATGACACAATTTAATAGACACAGTCTGCATACCAGCAAGCAAATCCTCAGAAAACATCACCATAAAATACAAATCAACAGTCAACTCAGGCAGTAAGAAGTGACTAAGGTTACCTCTTGCTTACCAAGAAAACGGTCCAGTTGCCTACAAAGAAACACATTTTTGGGTAATGTAAGTGACCTACAGACTCTTATTTGTTCTTCAGTTCCTACAGAAAGGTAACACTTCAGTCAAAAACACAAACTGCTACATCTTTCCAGTTACACTGAAAACTTATTTCATCATTTCACTCTTAGTTTTATGACAAGCCTCCAGAACACACACACATTTGACAGTGGTGCAGTGCAGTCTGATGCCTCATTAGTGACATGTATTACGTGTACATACGAGGTGTTGAGCGTGTGTTGACAGAAGCAGAGGTATGTACCTCATTGATTTCTGCTTGAATCTTTGCCATTTTTTCCCTCTCTGAAAACCTCACAAAGCACTCGAATTCTTCACAGGCTAAATCCAATGCCTCCTGTGAAAGGAATGCAACATGAAAAGGCACAGTCAGCGGCACAAAGGCAAATATTGGCTTTTAATAGTCTAAACTCACCGTCAGCCTATCACACTGAGCGACAGAGTTAATTTCTTCTAAACAACTAATAAAACACAAGCGTTACTTTGGGAACATCAGCACGAGCTAGAAAACCCCAAATCACGAAGGACTGTTCTGAGGGCACTCCCTCAGGCACTGGTTTACTCGCCATAGGAACACACTAGAGGACGTCTCCGGAGCAACACACATTTGCGGGTACCGTTACTCCCAGGAAGGAAAGTCACCATCAGCCAAAACGTAAGAGAATCAGAGAACGGTTTGGGTTGGAGGGACCTTAAAGCCCATCCAGTCGCAGCCCGTGCTGCAGGCGGGGCTGCCCAGGGCCCCATCCAGCCTGGCTTCGAACGCCTCCGGGAATGGGGCATCACGGCCCTGCGGACAGCTGTGCCCCCCCGCCCCCTCAGCGGAAGGTCCTCCCTTTCAGCTGCACAGTCGCTGTCGGGAGCTCCGCGCGGCCCCGCGCCGTACCTGGCTCGCGAAGCCTTCCGCCACGCACTTCTCCAGCACGGCCGCGATCTCCGTGCGCTCGTCCGACTCCCAAGGGCCGGGGCCGCGGCCGGCCGGGGCGACGTCCCAGCAGTGGCTCTGCCTCAGCCCGCCGCAGGTCCGCCGTGCCTCTCGGTGGGGCCCGGGACTGGCGGGCGCCGTTGCTGCGGAAACCAAGCGGAGGCGCTCCGCCATCCTGGGCGACCCGGAAGGGCGGGCGGCGGGCTGCCGCCACGGCGGGTGTGACGGCGGGCCGACAGGGTTCCGCTTCCGGAGCAGCCGGTGAGGGTTCCCGGCGCTCCGGGTCTCGAAGGAAGGGGGAAGCGCGGCGTGAGGCGGCTCCGGCGTGAGCCACCCCCGCGGGTGCGGCGGCCGCCTGACTGCGTCGAGAGCGGTACGGAGCTGCGTCGGGGCTCCCCGCGTCGCTTTCGGGGCCCGGCCGAGATGCGGCCTGCGGCTCGGTGCGGGCTGCGAGCTGCGGGAGGTGGGTGTCAGGAAAACTTTGTTTTATGATGCAGAATTTGGGTCGTGGTCCTCCATCGCAGAATAAGAGAATCTGTCAGACAGCACCGCTCGGACTCCATACACTCGAAGAAGGAGCGTTAGGATGGGAAACAGTGCGTTGAAAGCCCATCTGGAAACAGCACAGAAGACCGGTGTGTTCCAGCTGACGGGAAAGGGACTCACAGAGGTATCGTACCTGTAAGGCCGTTTGTGGTGGGACTGACACTTCTGAAGAGGAATTCTCACTTAGGAGTGGTCATAATGCACCACATAGGCGTATTTCTCATGAGTAGGGATGAATAATGTTATCAGAAGAATGTTCTTCTCGGCAGAGCAGATTTTTGCTTGCACTGTCTTCTGGTTGAGGATTTGCCTTTCAGGACACTTGCAGGCTTCTGATCTTATGCTTAGAAGTGAACGTACCCTAAAGAACTAGTAGATATAGCATTGCACTATTAAAAAAAAAAATAAGAACAAGGCTTGGAACTTCAGGAAAAAATGTAACAACTGTGTTGGTATCTAGAAAGATCCTCCACAATTTTTCATGCTTAGATATTTGTGCTGCATTTAACTGTAGCCTGTACAGGATGTTCACGTGGCTGCAAGCATCTTGGATTTCAGTATACAGAAATCATCTTGACTTTGACTTAGTGGCAGGAAAACAAAGAATATCTCGGGACTATAAATCTGCTGAGAATTCACAGGATAGCTAAAATTCAAAGCTGAAAATATATGCAGTAAAGAAATTTGTCAACTTCTTTCCACACTATGATGTCTGGACATTGTGATACATATTGCAGTATGTAATAGCAATATATGTTTTTCACTTAAAGTTTTAAAGCTTATCACTTGAACATTTGAAGCTGTATCAACTGTTTAGACAGTGTATCTTTTTTTCTTTCTCCTAGTTTCCTGAAGAGCTGCAGAAGCTAACAAGCAACTTAAGGACAATAGATTTGTCAAACAACAAAATAGAGCTCTTGCCACCACTCATTGGAAAATTTTCCCTTTTGAAGAGCCTTGTTCTAAACAACAACAAACTGAGTATGCCTGCTAATTAATATCTCCACAGAGTTTTAAAGTAGACTTCTCTGATCAGAAACTAAATGTAATGATTTAACTCTCACAGGATGTAAATGGGAAGCTTAGTCACATAAACTGAAATCTTTGGAATTCATGTACAGGAAAAAATCAAACCATAAATTCTGCAGTACTAGTTGCCAACTTAGTTGTATTATCAGTTTTACAATAACATGTAAGTACAAGAACTGTATAGCTTCTGTGCTGTGACTTGTCTGATCTGAAAGTTTAACAGTGTCAGGTAGTTTAGTACTTGCTTAGAAAACAGGTGCTGAAGATGGCCTGTAGAGAATGTTGTTGGCCACTGATTAGTTGTTGCTGCTTCTTTTGAACAAACATCAGTGGAAGTTCAATAAAATTTAGGATATTTATGCTGTGAGAGATGCCGTCTTTTGGATGATAAACAAAATTTTTGCCACTTTATGGAAAAATTAGGCTGAAGTGAAGAAGCCAGCTATTTTTTGTGTCTTCGTTGTGTATTAACTGCCTTTTTGAAAATCAAACGTAATTTACAAACCTCGTTGTTTCTGTAGTGCAACTCAAGAGTGTTACAAGTTAGACACGTGTAGATAGAATGAGGATGAACTTTAGCAGTGCTTACCTGTTGGGGCTTCTCTGCTGGTCTAATATAGTATGGCTTATCTGAGAATTTACTATTGAGTTGAGTGATACCTTTAAATGGCTGCAGCAGACCTGAGGCTATGAACTGTATGGTAGATGAAACGTCATAGAATATATTAGCAAATTGGCTGGTAGAAAGTATAATTTATAGCATTCAATCCTCAAAACCAGCTCATGGGTTGAAGGTCTGTCTCATCTGGAGATTATTTTTAAGATATTTTTAGAAGATGTTTAGAAAGCACATCTTGTTAGCGAGTTTAAAATCTGTGCTTTCACTGGAAAACATGGAAGAATCTTGTGGGAAACTACTGTAATAAACCACTGTTGTTCATGCAGAAGTTTGACATAAATGGTTATAGAAGTTTACTGTTCATTTTTTAGGTAATCTCTTTGTTGTGTGATTTATTTCTAGCTGCTCTACCTGAGGAGCTGTGTAGACTGAAAAAACTGGAAACACTGCATTTGAATGGCAATCACCTGAGGCAGTTGCCAGCTGCATTTGGACAACTTTCAGCTCTCAAAACCTTGAATCTTTCTGGGAACCAACTTAGGACTGTGCCTACACAACTTTGTGGTCTTCGCCATTTGGACGTGGTAGACCTCTCCAAAAACCAGATCCAAAATGTACCCGACAGTGTGGGAGAACTGCAGGCCATTGAACTCAATTTGAATCAGAACCAGGTCTGGTAACAGATATTATAGGCATGTGGATATGGGACGTAGTTGTTTATATTATACATAGTTTGTTCACAGACCATAGGCTGACATAGAAGATGCATCTCTTCTACACAGAAGAAATGAGGCATCATAACTACAATTTGTGCACTAATACATTCAACTGACTCATTTTAACAGCTAACATATCCTAGATTTAATTATATAGAAAATATTTGAACAGATATTGAGTAGGAATCTGACAAACTGATGTGGAGGTTGCCTACTATTATAGAAGAATATAAGTTCTTGGCTTTCTTTGAACGTTATTATTGCAGCTTATGTACTGCTAATTAGTCATTGTTAGTATAATCTATATTTGCAAAATGATATTTGTTCTATATTAGTCTGAAGCACAGATCACTTGAAGTAATCATGGATAGCTAACATTTTAATCCTATTTTTTAAAATTTCTACCAGATTTCCCAGATCTCAGTGCAGATCTCACACTGTCCACGTCTCAAAGTCTTGCGTTTAGAAGAAAATTGTCTAGAACTTAGCATGCTTCCTCAGAGTATCCTCAGTGATTCCCAGATCTCACTGCTTGCAGTTGAAGGCAACCTCTTCGAAATCAAGAAACTCAGAGAACTGGAGGGTTATGACAAGGTTTGTATATGGACATATACTTTTTAAGAAGCTTCTGGCGAATTCTTTACATATGACTGCAGAATGACTGAAAGCATCATTAACTGCTTAATATCAGTTCATCCTTAATCCTTCAGTTTGACTTCAGCATTTGTAAGGTCTTTCATTCTAGAATATAGAATAATATATAGCAGATGATAGAAAAATGGGTAGATCTATTTACGTGTTGTTTAAATGTCTTTTTTGTTTTTCTTTGTAGTACATGGAACGGTTTACAGCTACAAAGAAGAAGTTTGCGTGATTTTGTTCTGGTTGTGTGTATCCCTGGTAAGAAGAGTTAGTGACTGAGTCACCCACTTCACTGATGTAAACCAAGACTGATAAAGGAGATTAGAGTATCACCTCTATTAGTTGTGTACAGTTGGTAAGACCACATTGAATAAACTGGAACTAGAGAGCACGGGTATTGTACTGACGAACCTGCCTAGGGGCCAGTTTTCTTTTTTGAGCCGCTATAACTTTTAACACAGTACATGCTCTGTTGTCAGGGCTCATTCTTCCATAGAGAAGGGGAAAGAGTATTCCAAATTTGCCAGTTTCCCTTTGTCAGGAAGCTGTTGATTGATTTTTAAGAGAATTATTTCTCCTGGAATCACTTTCCATGATAGTACATGGAAGTTTTGCTTTCAAAGCAGATTCAAAACATTGTATATTTTGCAGTAAGCACTCTTCTACAGTGAACTTCTACAGATGATGTTTTAGTTCTTAACTTATACAAATTTTTCTATGAAGCACAGATAGTTATAGCTAAATTAATTTTTATTAACTGCCTCTAGTAAACAAATCATGACTTGAGCATTCTTCATTCATACTTTTCTGTATGGACTTTTTTTTTCCCCATAAGCAAGAATTGCACTACAGTCCTCTACTGCTTGAACTATGTCAAATAAAAATGAAATTCACCTTCAGTGTATTCAGTAAAAATGTATACTGCTGGAAAATATAATATCCTTGCACTGAATCTTAGTGAAAGTCTTAGCTGTCTCCCTGCTGCTGCTGCCTTACTACCAAAAGCACCTAGAAAGAACTGAAGATGTATGCAATTATTTAATTTAAACTAAAGAAGAAAGTGTACTTGTTTATTTTAGTAAATTGTTTTCAAAAACTCATTTCAAGCTTATTTGGTGTTGTCACTTTAACCAGTAGTACTAAGCTGTCACTACAAGCCACCACTTCAGATACACTGTTTCATCAGTTGCTGTTAACAGTTGTACTTCAACCCTTTGAAAAAGCAGAGAAGTCAAGTCAGCACTTAGATACAATTCAGTTAACATACACAAAACAGTGAAGTAGGAATTGTACTAGGTGCGTTTCTTAGCAAATGAACATGGATGCACCTCTTCTTAATGAGATTCCAGTTTCACTGCATATAGTAATTATTGTTCTGTGCATAACCTTTCATACTTGTGGTAAGAAAAGCATTTAGACATTCAACTCCTTGAAGTTGCAGGTGTGAAAATTACATGTAGTCAATGTGTTATGCCATCTGCAACTAAGGAAAATGAAGTGATCTCTGCCAATGTTTTTCCTCAATATACTATTACTCTTAATTATAGTTATTGTTTATTTTATAAGATGCTTAGAAATATTGAGTTCCCTGGTTGTGTTGGAAGTCTTACTTCATTCTTACACTAATACTTTTTACAGTATTTCAGGGAACATCAATTACTGATTTAAAGGATGGGTGTGATCCATC